ATTGTCTGTCTGTCTATCTGTCTCTCTTCTCCCTGAAGCAGGGATGAGATGGCTGGAGCTCTTGCAGCTACTTTTTGACAATGGAGTGACCTTGAAGATACAGGCTACTCTCTGAGGCTGCTGGGTCAGAGACACTGGAGAAAGCTGGGCTTGGATGATTGTATGGAGTCACTGCTTTAGAACACCAGGGACTGTGTTCCCTTGGACTTCTTTTATAAGAGGAAAAGAGGGCCGGCGCCGCGGCTCACTAGGCTAATCCTCCGCCTAGCGGCACTGGTACACCGGGTTCTAGTCCCGGTTGGGGCGCCGGATTCTGTCCCGGTTGCCCCTCTTCCAGGCCAGCTCTCTGCTGTGGCCAGGGAGTGCAGTGGAGGATGGCCCAGGTGCTTGGGCCCTGCACCCCATGGGAGACCAGGAAAAGCACCTGGCTCCTGGCTCCTGCCATCGGATCAGCGCAGTGCGCCGGCCGCAGCGCGCTGGCCGCGGCGGCCATTGGAGGGTGAACCAACGGCAAAGGAAGACCTTTCTCTCTGTCTCTCTCTCTCACTGTCCACTCTGCCTGTAAAAAAAAAAAAAAAAAAAGAGGAAAAGAGGGGGCAGGCAGTCGGCCACCCACCAGTTAAGACACTAAGTAGATGCCTGCATTCTGTTCACACAGGTGGTGTGCAATGGCAGGGCTGGGCTGGTGTCTTCTCACAAGGACACCAAATCCACCCAAGCAGGTCCCACCCTCATAACCTCATCTAAGTAGCACCAGACATGAAAGGAAAAGAAAATCTCAATCTTATTTATAAGCCACTATTATTTCTGAGTAATGAATGGTGCTTTTTTTTTTTTTAAGATTTATTTATTTATTTGGAAGGCAGAGGGAGAAAGAGAGAGAGAGAGAGGGAGAGAAAGAGATATCTTTGGTTCACTGGTTCACTTCCCAAGTGGCCATAATGACTGGGGCTGCACCAGGCCAGACTGGACAGAGTCAGGAGCCAGGACTCTGTTTGGGTCTCTCAGATGAGTACCAGGGGCCCAAGTACTTGGACCATCTTCTGCTGTCTTCCTAGGAGCATTAGCTGGGGGCTGGATTGGAAACAGAGCAGCTAGGGCTTGAGCCATCAGCTCCCTGACTGTTATTCCTAACAGCATGCTGTGTATTTCAAAGCAGCTAAAAGGGGGTGGGCATTGTGGTGTAGCCACCACCTGCTATGCTGGCATCCCATATGTTCACCGGATCGAGTCCCGGCTGCTCTACTTCTGATCCAGCTCCCTGCTAATGCACCTGGGAAATCAGCGGAAGATGGCCCATGCACTTGGGCCCCTGCCATCCATGTGGAAGACCCAGAAGAAACTCCTGGCTTCAGCCTGGTCCAGCGCTGGCTGTTGTGGCCATTTGGGGGAGTGAACCAGTAGGTAGAAGTTCTCTCTCTCTCTCTCTCTCTTTCTGGCTCTTTTTCTCTCTCTGTTACTCTACCTTTCAAATAAATGAAACTTAACAAAAAACAAAACAGCAGCAACAACAACAAAAAACCCAGCAAACCCCAAAAGAGCTGAAAAAGGACTCACAGTGGGAGATATTGAGAGCATTCCCATTCACTGGTTTACCATTCAAATGCCCAAAATGGCTGGGACGCCAAAGCCAGGAGCCAGGAGCCCGGAACTCAATCCAGGTCTCCCATGTATGTGTAAGGGGCGTTGAACCCAGGCACTCCACCTGTCTTGAATGTCAGGCCAAACACTTGAAAGGTCTGTTTCGCCTCTTTCCTTAGAATGGTCACACTCTACGGGAACCACAGCACATCCCTCAGCTTGGCTGGATTAACTGTCGTGGGAAGTCACTGTTGGAGGCCGGTGTCAAAGCCCAGATAGAGAGCCTGTGGCAAGCAGCCAGGACAGCAGGAACCTGACTTCTGCTGGCACATGGACCACAATTTAAGAGGTTGACTTGGAACTGCAGTATCTTCTCAGTTAGGGTGAGTTTTTCTTCCCATGATCCAACAGGTTTTTCCCAGGTGATGGATTGGCATTTCTGGGCGGAGCTGGGGAGCCTGCAGGGCTCTTAGGGTGGCATTTGCCCGGTGTCCTGGGGCGACCCTCCATGTGAACCCTGGATGGGGACAATCTTCACTGCCTGTCACAGCTCAGGATGGTTCTGAGGTCCGCCTTCAAAGCCTTTCTCTGGTGGCCAGAACTCTTTAGAGGCCACACTGCCTGAGTTTGTTTTCTGTGAAGGCTGACAGTGAATCTCTTCTCCTTGGGAATTCTCCCTTTGTGTCCTGCCTTTCCTCAGGGAGGTGTCGTTTGACAGCAGACACGCTACGAAGAATGTCTCCAAATCCTACCTTTGCAGCCTGAGCCCCTAGCACGCAGGCTCCTGGGAGCTCCATCTCCCTGAGCCAGACTCGAGGCGCCCAAGAGACACAGAGAGAGAAATCTTTGAAGTCGAATGCGTTAGGACTAATTACTCCTCAGAAGCATTTGCAAAGTAATTATGGACTATTGTTAGGATGCTCCAGTGGTTGATTTTTTTTTTTAAATGATGAAGCTTTGCATTGAATAAATGCTTATGGGGGAAAGGAGGTGATGATAAGGATGTACATTTAAAGAGGAAATACTCCTCACAACCCTTCTCTCAAACCCATCTGCCTCCTTTTCCCAGCTCCCTAATACAACTCCTGGAAACCCCACAACCTAAGAGAGCGTTGGTGCATTTTCTGCTTGGCTGGGAGGGTTTTTGGTGTTAAAAAATGCAATTTTGGAAAACACTGGCTGTGGCAGAATTTGTAGAGAAATGCGTTTCGCACTAGGACCTGAGCATCCTGAAGGCAGGAGTCTCTTAAGGGGCCAGCTTCTCCAGCAACTCTCAACGGGGCTACAGGCTGGAGCTGGGCTTCCAGTGTGCCGTGGTCCCTTTCCTAGGCTGTCTGTGGGGTCCCAGCTCTCATCCAGGGCCCCAACCTACAGCCTCTGAGACCAAAGCCTTATAATGCAAAAGGCAGGACCCAGCCACTGGTCAGTCTCTCTGAACCCAAGCTGTTTGTCCCTGTCCTGTATCAAAAGGAATTCACTGAGTTGAGGAAGGGATACGGCTGATCCGACAAGGTTCTGATTGCTGAATTCAAGTAATTTGCTCCTTCAAGGGTTCAAACCCTGCTGGCCAGGGCTGTCCTGAGGGGATCTGTAGGGGGGACTTCCAGGTAGGTCCAGGCAGAGAAACTCCAGGTCTGGGGCAGAAGGTAGCCTGCATCTCATGCCCAGACCAACAGAAGTCCACCTGGCCACCATCAAAATTCCCTAAAGAGCATCGCATTCCGACCAATCAGAGGCAGGTCATGGACACCACTGACCAACCAGGAACCTGGACGTGAGCTGAACACGCCCCACTTAGATTTTTCCATCTCTGAGAACCTTTGCCCCTAACTCCTCTGAGAGCCCGGAGTTAAGCAATAGCCCCCCAGCTTCTTGTCAGTGCTGTGCAATAAATACCTTTTCTTTCACTACCCCAATGAGGGCGGACTCAGGTTTGGGGGTGCTGTAGCAATTCTTCTGATTAGTTTGGGGAGCTGTGCGGCAGCACCTCCTCTACTGGAGTAGGGGCTGTGGCCGGCTAATGGAGATACATATTACAACATTAACTTTTTAAATATCCTATTAGCGCTCCATTAGGATAAATGAGGGACGAAGAAAAACCATAACAGCATTAGTCTCTGCCCCCGCTTAGCACAGCGATTGCGTTGCAGATTCCACAGAGCCTGCTCCAGAGCCAAATGGGAGGGGAGGGCTTTGGTGGGGAGGGGTCTTCCTAAGTGGGAATCCAGTCTGAAGGTGCAGGGGACAGAGTGGAATGGGGGGTCGGGGGGAGAGCTGCGACTCCAGTGGAGGTGGAGGGGGGTGCTGATTCATCTGGGTCCTCCCTGAAGTTGGTCCCCCTGGATCCCACAGGGAAAGGGAATGGCTTAGGCAGCCTGGCATAGCGCCAGTAGCAAGTGTGAGTCATTATAGCTCCTGTTCTCAGAGATCTGGAAGGGACAAAGCCTTTGCCTGCGTTCTCCTGGGGCCCTCATCTCAATGACAAAGGCACGGTGGTGGGGGGTGCAGAGAGGGGCCAGGTTTGCTCTTTGCCTCTCAAAAAAAAGATCTTTCACCTCGGGGAGGGATTTCAGACCCAGGCTTGCAGCTTCCAATGCCATATGCCTTGGGACCTGTGTGGGGTGAGCCAGCCTGCAAATTCCTAGGACTGGCTTTGGGGTGCCGCCCTGGGCTCTGTCTGGGGCTAGGCTTAGTTGCCAGGTGGCCCATAGCTGCAAACAGTCCTGAACGATGGTCCTCGCCTGGGAAAAGAGAACACTTGGGCAGACCAGGCTAGTAGCTGGTGAGGTGTTCCTTGGGGTCACCGAGGACCATAGGGAAAAGGCAGCCGCATCCTCCATTGTTTCTGGGTAGGTTACGTGCGTGTGTCACCGTGTATGAATGAAGTACAGTATCTCTGGCTTAGGCTGCCCGGGGCTTGAGGCTACGGAATTGTGACACCTGAACACCCCGCTGAGACTCAATTTCTCATCTGTACAATGGGTCTACGGGTCCTATTTGGGGGATTCAATGAGATAATCCAGGTAATATGCTGGGCACTGTGGCCCCATATCATGAACGCAAACATTAGTTGCTATGCTAAGGATAATGATTGATGTTTGAGCGCTGGAAGATCTGCTGTGTTGGATTCACTGAAAGACAAAATTACAGCCAGTCTAGTCTTGCAGCTCTTAATTGGCTTCATCTGCAATCCTAGAATCCGGCAGCAGTCTGCCCCACCACGACTCAAGAATGCTCCAGCCGCCTTAGAAGTAGGTCCAATTTCTAGATGGAGTAACGGAAGTGACGTAAAGAAAACGGAAGTGCGGAACGAAGACAGCCGATTGGTTACTGCTCCTGTCTGTCTTACCTGGACACGGTTTGAACTGCTTGTGATTGGCTGAGACTTGGCCACGGCTACAATAGCGGATTACAAACTATTTACACACAGTGTTAGGTCACAGGTTGCTATTTACGGGGAAACCTTTAAGCCAAATTTCTTCACATACTCTTGGCTCTTCTATTTGTTGGTTGCCGATGACTGGTCACTACCTCTCCAAGGTTCAGTTTCCTTATCTAGTAAATGGGGGTCCTGGGGGTAGCCACCTGCTAGAGTTAAGAAGATTAGGGGTGCCAACCTGGTTACGGTGCTCAGCGTGGTGCCTGGCGCACAGTGTATGATTCGTTATCTATCTCTGTGTTCAGCTATGAGTTTGCCTGCCTTTTGGTAGTGAAACAGGACAGGGCCCTAACCTGATTGAGACCTGTGAGACAGAGGGCAGTGTGTGCCTTTTGGCTTTGCTGGCTTCAAAGCCAGGCTTCTCACTGTCTGGAGCGAGCTCCTCCGCCCAGGTGTCAGGGGACTCCCGTGGTGCTGGGCCGGCCCTTTGGGAGCTCAGCTGTGGTGGGTGTGGCTCCAGCTCTTCTCAGGATCAAGGACTCCTCGGCTCCTCTTTGCGGTTCTTGCTCAGCTCAGACCTTAGAACACGAGGACACCTCCATGGAGTTCTTGGAACTGAGATCATAACACGAGAAGGACAGGTGTCTGAGACGCCAGATAGTCAAGACTTAAGATGGAAGTGTAGGGGCTGGCCCTGGTGAAGCTGCTGTTTGCAAGGCTAGCATCTCATGTCAGAGCACAGGTTTGAGTCGTGGCTGCTCGGCTTCCAATCAGACTTCCTGCTGATGCGTCTGGGAAGGCAGCAGAAGATGGCTCAAGTGCTCAGGTCCCTGCCACCCATGGAGGAGACCAGGATGGAGTTCCAGGCTCCTGGCTTCAGCCTGGCCCAGCCCTGGCTGTTGTAGGCATTTGGGGAGTGAAACCAGCAGATGAAAGATTTCTCTTTGTCTGTCTGTCTGTCTCTCCTCTCTCACTCTCTACCTTTCAAATAAGGATAAAAGAAGATGTAGGTATACATGCAGTCATCTCTCTGTATTTGTAGCGGATTGGAACCAGGGCTCTTCACAGATATTAAAATCTGAGAATGCTCAAGTCCCTTCAACAAAATAGCATAATGTTTGCATGGAACCCATGCAATCCTCCTGTTTCCTTAAAATCATTTCTAGATGACTTGTAGATATCCAATGCAGTAAATATTTTGAATGCTGTACTTTTTTAAAAAAAGATTTATTTATTTATTTGAAAGTTAGAGTTACATACAGAGATAAGGAGAAGCAGAGATAGAGATAGAGATAGAGATAGAGATATATATATATATATATATATATATAGAGAGAGAGAGAGAGAGAGAGAGAGAGAAAGAGAGAGAGAGGTCTTTCATCCGCTAGTTCACTCCCCAATTGGCTGCAATGGCCAGAGCTGTGCCGATCCGAAGCCAGAAGCCAGGAACTTCTTCCGGGTCTCCCACATGGATACAGGGGCCCAAGGACTTGGGCCATCTTATACTGCTTTCCTAGGCCATAGCAGAGAGCTGGATCGGAAGTGGAGCACTCGGGACTCCAACCGGTGCCCATATGGGATGCTGGTACTACAGGTGGTAGCTTTACCCGCTATGCCACAGTACCAGCCCCCAGATGCAGTGTTTTTAAAGAATGGTTCCCATTTCCCATTGGTTGAATCCTACAGAGGACTGGCTATCATTTGAACAGAAAGAGTGTAGAAGACAGGGCTGGAGGTTTTTGGAGGATGTGATCTGAGCTGGGTCTTGCAGGAGGGACCTGCTTTGCAAAGGTGGTTTTGGGGAAATGGGGGTGATTACTGGATTGGGAGCAACATGTTAGAGAGAGCAGAGAGGGGCCAGTTTTGCTGGCATGAAATGTTGGGGTGAGTGGTGAGAGTGATCAGGCCCCCCCCCCCAGACAGGGATAGGAATTTGAACCCAGTGCAACAGACTACAGAGAAGCACAAAACCTTGGCAATGGCTCCCCCTCCTGGGGGCGTTTCCGCAGGTTGACCTGGTGGCTATGGTGCAGGGTGCAGGTGTAGCAGAGCAGCAATGCTGGCAGCCAGGCTGAGCACAAAATCTGGTGCAGAGCAGAGCACCCCCGCCCCCTGCCCCCCAGCCTCTTGTTCAATGGGAGCACTTCAGGAGATTATGCATTGTGTGGCCAAGAGCTGCAGTCACTTTGTCTGCCCTGACTTCCGGAAGAAGGCACCTATTGTGTCCAGTAATGAGTCATTCTCAGAGGCTTTTGTGAGAGACAATTGAATATTTATCCCGGTCTCAGGGAACCTAGGGACACCTTGGAAGCATGAGATGGCTTTGAAGTGGAGACAAATGAAATCCTTAAGCTTCCCGGGGAGGGATGGAGCCATCTCTCAGAAGTCACAGCCTCTGATTCCAGGCCAGAATGTTTAGGGCACGTAACAACTTTGAGCAAGGAGCCTTGGGTGAGTACATCTTGCCGGACATACAGGGTCTTTTCCAGGTCTCATTTATTAGGGAGGGTGTTCTGTCTTGGGCAAGGGACAGCAGAGAGGGAGGGAGGGAGGGAGAGAGAGAGAGAGAGAAAGATGGAGGGAGGAAGGGAGGAAGAGTGGAAAACAGTGGGAGCATCTGGGGGGACCTGCTCAGTCCCATCTGCGTGAATGACCTTGGAGAAGCTGGGATCCACACACAACAAAGCCTGTGTCAGTCTTTCATGTGCTAATTTCTTTAATCCTTTAATCACCCCAGGCAACAATGTATTGGTGAGGAAATCAAGGCGTAGAGAGGGAGAATTGGCTGGCTGATGGTCACGCTGTGCTGGCCACTGGGCTGTGCTGCCCAGGCCCGCTCCTTGTTCAGCTGCTCTGGGAGCTGTCAGCATTCAGCCTCAGCACCATGGGGACTGGCTGCAGAGCCTCCTCGGCCAAAGCCACGCCTTCCCCAGTGACCCATATCCTCTGACAGATCAAGTTCAACTTGAAAGGTCATTCCAGCGTCAGAGGGTCAGCTGAGGCTGTCTTTGGGTCTGCACATCACCTCGGCGTCTCCTTAGCCACTGTGGCTTCCTTGACTTTTGCAGGTATAGAAGGTACCCCTCGGCCGGCGCTGCGGCTCACTAGGCTAATCCTCCGCCTTGTGGTGCCAGCACACCAGGTTCTAGTCCCTGTCGGGGTGCCGGATTCTGTCCCAGTTGCCCCTCTTCCAGGCCAGCTCTCTGCTGCGGCCCGGGAGTGCAGTGGAGGATGGCCCAAGTGCTTGGGCCCTGCACCCCATGGGAGACCAGGATAAGTACCTGGCTCCTGCCATCGGATCAGCATGGTGTGCCGGCTGCAGCAGCCATTGGAGGGTGAACGAATGGCAAAGGAAGACCTTTCTCTCTGTCTCTCTCTCTCACTATCCACTCTGCTTGTCAAAAATAAAAAAAAAATAAAAAAAGAAGGTACCCCTCTCCCCTGCTCCCTTCCACCCCCACCCCAAGTATCCTTGCAGTGCTCTCTCTCTCTCTTTTTTAATATTTATTCGTTTTTATTTGAAAGTCAGAGTTACACAGAGAGAGGAGAGGCAGACTGAGAGAGAGAGGTCTTCCATCCGATGGTTCACTCCCCAGATGGCCACAACGACCGGCGCTGCACCGATCTGAAGCCAGGAGCCAGGAGCTTCTTCCAGGATCTCCCATTCGGGTGCAGGGGCCCAAGGACTTGGGCCATCTTCTATTGCTTTCCCAGGCCATAGCAGAAAGCTGGATCGGAAGAGGAGCAGCCGGGACTCGAACCAGCGCCCATATGGATGCCGGCGCTTCAGGCCAGGGTGTTAACCTGCTTCTCCACAGCGCCGGCCCCTGCAGTGCCCTCCTTATCTGAGGCTCTGCCTTCTACCCTGGCAGTGACCCGTGGTCAGCCACCATCTGAAATACTGCATGAAACATTCCAGAAGTAATCAGTGTGTAAGTGTCAGACAACTTTTAACAAAGCATATTGTTCGTTCCATCTTATTTTTGACCATTTTTGTTCATCTCTTATGGCGTCTATTCTAGAAATGAAGCTTTACCACAGGGATTTGTGTACAGGAAATAAATGGGGGAGAAATCCAAGATTTGGTTCCATGTGTTTGTTTCAGGCATCCGCTGGGGGTCTTGGGACATATCCTCTTCAAATAAGGTGAGATCATTGTACCCTAAACTCCATCTCGGAGTCCACTGCCTTGGGGAGCCCGAGCTGTGAGCCAGGCCGTGAGGAAGTGCTCAAACCTGGAGTTATTCTGTCTCCCAACTGTGGCTTTTTTTTTTTTTTTTAAGATTTATTTATTTATTTGAAAGTTAGAGTTACACAGAGAGAGGAGAGGCAGAGACACACACACACACACACACACACACACAGAGAGAGAGAGAGAGTCTTCCATCCACTGGTTCACTCCCTAATTGGCTGCAACAGCTGGAGCTGCGCCCATCCAAAGCCATGAGCCAGGAGTTTCTTCCAGGTCTCCCATGTGGGTGCAAGGGCCCAAGGACTTGGGCCATCCTCTGCTGCTTTCCCATGCACATTAGCAGGAAGCTGGATCAGAAGTGGAGCAGCTAGGACCCAAAGTGGTGACCATATGGGTTGCTGGCACTATAGCCAGTGGCTTAACCGGTTATACCACAGCATTGGCCCCTAAGATGTGCATTTTTAATAATAGTGTCTACTTTTAGAAAACCGGTGCCAGGCATGAGGCGACAAACTCATGCTGTGTTAATCAAGGATCCATTCAAAGTGCAGGTTAGACCAGTGGGTTTTAATAGAACCTAGTATAAAAAGTTCATCTTTATGGTTCAGATTTCAAGTACCTTTCATTTATTTATTTTTGAAGATTTATTTGTTTGACAGGCAGAGTTAGAGATGGAAAGAGAGAGAGAGAGAGAGAGAGAGAGAGATCTTTCATTCATTGGTTCACTCTCCTAGTGGCTGCAACAGCCAGGGCTGGGCCAGACCAAAGCCAGGAGCCAGGAATTCCATCCAGGTCTCCCACATGGGTGGTGGGGATCCAAGGACTTGGGCCATCTTCTGTTACTTTCCCAGTTGGCGTTAATAGGAAGATGGTTGGAAGCAGAGGAGCTGGGACTCGAACCAGCACTGTGCTGGGATGCTGGTGTCGTTAGCAGCTGTGCCACAACTGTGGCCCCTCATGTACCCTGTTAAAAACTGCTTCATGTTGCATTTGGGTGGAGTTTCAGAGAAAACCCACGATTAACTGCAAAGGCTGTCACTAAAATCCTCTTTCTTTCCTGCTACGTGTCTGTGTGAGGCTGACTTTTCTTTATAGTTTTCAAAATGAGCAATCTTGAGACTGAAGGCAGAAGTGGGTACAAGGCTCCAGCTGTCGTCTGTGAAGTCAGATAATACAGAAATTTACAAAAGTGGAAAACAGTGCCGCTCCTCTTCCTCCGTTTGTTCTGAAAACACACATACTTTTCATGAAAAAATTACTAATGTGAACACATCATTGATTTGAAATAAGTAAATATTTAAAGATATTCTGGATGTTATGTGGTAACTATCAGCAGATAAATAAGATTTCTTTGAGTGTTTTTTTTTAAAGGTTTATTTATTTATTTGAAAATTGGAGTTACACACAGAAAGAAGGAGAGGCAGAGATAAGAGAGAGGGCTTCCATCCACAACAGCCGGAGCTGCGCTGATCCGAAGCCAGGAACCAGGAGCTTCTTCCAGGTCTCCCACGTGGGTGCAGGGGCCCAAGGACTTGGGCCATCTTCTACTGCTTTCCCAGGCCATAGCATAGAGCTGAATTGGAAATGGAGCAGCCAGGACTTGAACCAGCCGGTGCCTATATGGGATGCCAGCACTGCAGATGGCGGCTTTACCCCCTACATACAGCGCTGGCCCCCTTGAGTGTTCTGGTCCTCATTTTTAACAGTAACAAATGATCAGGAACCTAGTGACTTGAAATATGTTTATTACTGTTGTTACTTTGTAAGTATTACACTGTAACAACCACTTATTAGTTTATTTCCATTTTGTTTGAAAGGTGGAGAGACAGAGAGACAGACAACTTCTGTCTCCTGGTTTACTCCCCAAATGAAATGTCCTGCCAGCGCCGCGGCTCACTAGGCTAATCCTCCGCCTGCAGCGCCAGCACACCGGGTTCTAGTCCCGGTCGGGGCGTCGGATTCTGTCCTGGTTGCCCCTCTTCCAGGCCAGCTCTCTGCTGTGGCCTGGGAAGGCAGTGAGGATGACCCAAGTGCTTGGGCCCTGCACCCGCATGGGAGACCAGGAGAAGCACCTGGCTCCTGGCTTCGGATTGGTGCGGTGCTCTGGCCACAGCGCACCGCCGCAGCAGCCATTGGGGGATGAACCAACGGCAAAGGAAGACCTTTCTCTCTGTCTCTCTCTCTCACTGTCCGCTCTGCTTGTCAAACAACAACCAGGCCGGCGCCGTGGCTCAATAGGCTAATCCTTCACCTAGCGGCGCCGGCACACCAGGTTCTAGTCCTGGTCGGGGCTCCGGATTCTGTCCCGGTTGCCCCTCTTCCAGGCCAGCCCTCTGCTGTGGCCAGGGAGTGCAGTGGAGGATGGCCCAAGTCCTTGGGCCCTGTACCCCATGGGAGACCAGGATAAGTATCTGGCTCCTGCCTTCGGATCAGTGCGGAGCACCGGCCGCAGCGCGCCAGCCGTGGCGGCCATTGGAGAGTGAACCAACGGCAAAGGAAGACCTTTCTCTCTGTCTCTCTCTCTCACTGTCCACTCTGCCTGCCAAAAAAAAAAAAAAAAAAAAAAAGAAATGAAATGCCCAAAACAGCCAGGCCTGGGCAGGGCTGAAGTCAGGAACTGGGAACTCAATCTGGGTCTTCCACTTGGCGGCAGGGATCTAAGTACTTCCGCCATCAGCTGCTGCCTCCCAGGGTGCACATTCTTGGCAGGAAGCTGGAATCAGAAGCAGAGCTGTGACTCAAACCCAGGTACTCCGCTATGGGATGCAAGGGTCTCAAGCTGTATCTTAACCAATGCACCAAGCAGGTTATTAACAATACTGTATACAATCACTTTCAGGCTATGTGTATAAAGTGTACATGAGGCATAAATGAATTTCGTGCTTAGACTTAGATCCCAGCCCTATGATGTCTCACTATGTACATGCAAATATTCCCAAATCCCAAAAAGTCCCAAATGTGAAACATTTCTGGTCTGGTCTCAAGTATTTAGAATAAGGATGCTCAATCTGTATGACATTCAATTGTGCTCTTTCGAACTCCTGTCCCTTGCCTCTGTCCCTGCTAACCCAAAAGAGCCTAAAAATGGGCAGATATCTCCTCTCAATCCAACCTTCCTTAAAGAGTCCGAATCAGTAGAAAATCCAGCCCGTACCGCTACACCAGTGCACCCCCCATTCCATATGTAGTTCTGCGTTCTTTCAACATCAACATGCCTCTTACGGAGAGGGGAGGTCTACACTCCTTCCAGTAGATTCTGGGGGATTGTGACTGTGGAGGAAGTGACACCGTGCGACTTCCGATGTGAGATCATGAAAAGTAACACAGTTCCAGTTTCAGCCAATAGGCACTTTGGCCGTTGGAGCCATGGAAGCCCAGACCACAGGAAGAAAAGACCCCATGGAGTGTTCCAGCCAACAGCTCCAGCTCTGAGGTCTCAACTGTCAGCCGGCATCAACCGTGGACGTGAGTGAAGAAGCCACAGGGGTGGAGATGTCCCAGCTGTGCCCCAGAGGTCGTGAGAGCAGGAATGAAGTCTCCCCTCTGGGTCCTGCCCAGATAGCAGGTTCCTGAGCCAAACCACGGAGGGGTGTTGTTTTAAGTCTCTGTGCATTTTGGGGTGGCTTATTAAATAGTAATGATAACTGGGACAGAAGTAAAAAAAAGACAGATAATGGACTATGCAATTGGCCAATTATGGGGGGGATATATGCTCAGAAAAAGAAACTAACCCCATCTCAAAGCAGTTAAGGAGAGAAAACCTGTGAGATTTTGATTTGTTCAGTTCCTCCTTTCCTTTCCATGTGTCTCTTTCTTAAGGACTGGGGGTGAGTTGTGTGGTTTGCCTGGGCTTCCGTCTCTTCCTCTGCTATTCTTTCAACTCCGTTCCATCTCATCTCCGTTCCAGCTCCAGCTCCGACCCCCTCCTCTCCTCTCTGCATTTTCTTTCCCCCACGTTTCTCCTTTTTCTTCCCCGTCCCCCCTTCAACTCCAACAGTGAGAATTGGAAACTCAACAAAAACCCACAAGTCTCTGCTAGTATGGAAGCCACTGGGGGCAGCTAAAGGGTAGGAGAGTGTTCCTGGCTCTGAGAATTTGACAAGCATGTTTGCACACTGCGTGCTGTTTGCATGTTCTTACCTTCTGATGGGAGAAGTCCCGTCAACAGCAGTGTCCCGAGGGCAGCCACCATTTGTCTTGTTTGTTCTGTTGTTGTTGTTTTTTTTTTTTCAACCTTCAAACTGAAATATTTATGAATCTTTATTGTTCTCATGGAGTTGAACCTAAGTGTAATATGTTTTTTATTTCTCCAAAGAATTTCTGATTTTTACAGATGCACGCTTGTGGATAAACACATACGCTTAAAAGAATTGTGAGCTAGGTTTGCCCACAGACAAGCCAGGGGCAACCCCGGGTAGGTGCTAGGAACTCAGTGACGATCTGGAGGAAGAAAAGACACTTCTGGGTCCTAAGATTCCCCTTCCCAGACTTCAGGGGGAAAAAGTCCTGTGGTTTCTGGCAACCGGGAATGGTGTGATGGAGAACACCTGGAGTACGAAATCGCCGGCTCTGAAGATTAGCTGGCTTTTCATCACCGCGCTCCCACACCCAAGGCAGGCTACCTTATAGAGAGGCTGATTTTGGCCCTCAGCTTTGGGTTTGCAGTCCAAGCTCAGGCAGACCCCCTCAGGTTGGCCTTTGGTGGTGGATTCTTGCTGGCAGGATCCCGAGGGGCCACAGGGCGTCACGTGGTAACGTGTGTCCAGGTCTGTGTGGTCCTCTCCTGAAACTGTCAGGCTTTAGTCACAGGGCCTCCCCCCTAACAACCTAATCTGATCTAACCACTTCCCAAAGGTCCCCTCCTCTAACTGTCACAGTTGGATTAAGTTAAGGGAGGTTGTTCCTGTAGATGAGAGATATTGGAGCCACCTTCTCTCTCATTAGTTTCATGTCTTTGTTCTTCCTCTCTGAAGCCAGGAGCCAGGAGCTTCCTCTGGGTCTCTCACATGGGTGCAGGGGCCCAAGGACTTGGGCCATCTTCCACTGCTATCCCAGGCCATAGCATAGAGCTGGATCGGAAGTGGAGCAGCCGGGACTCGAACCAGTGCCCATATGGGATGCTGGCACATCAGGCCAGGGCTTTAACCCGCTGCACCACAGTGCCGGCCCCAGGAGAGATTCTTTTCCAGATCAGTGTTTGCTAACGGCTAAGGTGCTGATGTTCTCCTTTATGGCCAGAATCCCCCTTGTGGATGTTGGTCTAGAGGCAGACTGATGAGCTTAGCTCTAGTGAATGGCAAGCACTTACGTAGTCCAATTCTTTGCAACTAACAGAATTTTTTTCCGCATTGTCTGGTCCTCTCAGTGAGGAGGAAAAGCGATTTTATCCACAGATAATTGAAATAGCCTCTGGTTCTTCTGCCACCGGAAGCCTATGAGAGTCTACAGCTCAAAGAGTTTGCTGTTTCCAGCACATATATGTGAAATAAGC